CCTTTCCCTCAAGCGCTCTCGGGCGGAACCAACTCTTGCTGCAGGTACCTCTGGAGGCTACCTACATCAGGTTCTCATGACTTTCCAAGCTCGCAATTTAGGCAGCGAACTTGTGATCAACCGCGGACGCAATGTCGATGTCGTCGAGTACGTGCTCATCTCTCAAGAGGGCCAAACAATTTTGAAAGCAGCTCGCTATTACGGTTTCCGAAATATCCAAAACCTTGTCCGGAAACTCAAGCCCGCCCGTATGTCGAGGCTTCCCGGCGCAAAGCCTGCCGCCAGACCTGTCGCTAGACCCGCCGCAGGTCGGCGCCAGCCTATATCTCGTAACGCCGTGTCCACAAGCAGCTCTGGATCAGACTACGCTTACGTGGAGGTCATGGCTTGTCCTGGTGGGTGCACGAATGGCGGTGGCCAGATCCGAGTCGAGGACGCCAGAGAAACCCTTGGTATTTCCCAAGGAGAGGCACTAGACGTATCTATGAAACCATCACCACATGAGCAGCGCGCGTGGCTTGCTCGCGTCGACGAGGCTTATTATTCCATGGAATCTGAGTCTGAGACTGAGCTGGAGACTCAGTCTCAGCTGTTCTCGTTGGCTGACAAGGAGGCTAAAATTCACGAAGGCTTGCGGTCCTGGTCAGAATACATGAATATTCCCATCTTCAAGCTCGTCTATACTACATATCGCAAGGTAGAAAGTGATGTTGGCAAGGATCAAACACCTGCTAATGATACGAGTCGGGTTGTGGAGCTTGCAGGGAAGATCGGTGGTGGTTGGTAACTCTTCTCTGCTCCATTTTGCTGCTGCAAGATCCAACTTGGTGGTGGTTCTCTTAGCAGCCTCTTCTTTACTTCTTTTGCATAGCGCGGGGATCTGATTTTTCTTGCATGTTTCTGGGGGATATACCATAATTTTGAAGTCAGGGTCGATGATACATGGCGGGCTGAATTGCTCTAGGCTTATAACACGATAAATGTATAGGAGTAAGGTCTAAATACCTTCAAATACGATCAATGCTATTAATTAATGAAGTTATGAGAGCATAGAATTCCAAACCTACTTTCTAAAAGAATCAGAGGACTTTTATACTCCCAAATGCTGGAGATCTGGACGCGATGACTAATCTACGAAATGCATGACTAAGCACTTAAAATCCCGCGCTCTAGAAAGAAAAAGAATCCCGAGTATCTCAGCTCAGAAGCAGCTCGTTTCCACCTCACAACTCTTATCTTTCCACTGGACACGATCAACTCGCGCGCAAAATAATCACTTTACTACTACACCACTCTCAACCTCAAACGATGTCTCGCGAAACTTACCAGGTCCCCGCGATGGGCACCCAGAACAACTTCGACACCCAAGCCGGAGGTTTTGGTAGTGCCATGGCCATCGACAGCCCCTCAGTTACCTACCTGTGCGGCGAGTGCTCTGCCCGTGTTCCTCTCAAGCGCGGCGACCAGATCCGCTGCAAGGACTGCGGTCACCGTGTGCTGTACAAAGAGCGGACCAAGCGGTAAGATTCTCTTTCCTGGGAATTATCATGCGATATGCGCGAGGCCCAGGCTGACTTCTTTTTTCTTTCTCTCAATAGTATGGTCCAGTTTCAGGCTCGGTAGACGTTTTGTCTATTAAGACAGGAATCAGACGTTCGGAGGTTGCGATGGCCCAGGCGGAATCGACCTGAGATCCTCTGGTTTTGACATCTTTATCTTTTGACGAATTATGCATACAATGGCGCTTTGGTGTTGAATGACACAAACTGGTTTTTTCTATGGTCCCAGTGTACAAAACAGATACTATATTCTGGCCATGTCCTCTAGTGTATGGAGGACAGGCTTAAGCTCTTTTTTTTTCAAGAAAAACAATCATATCTGCTTTCAAAGAATAAATGACATTTACTCATAGACCCGAAATATCCACATATCTAGGTACATTCAGTTCACCTATCAGAACAGGTGAAACAATTGCATACCCCAAATCCAAAAGCTTCTTAGACCCGAAAAGGCATACTAAATCCAAACCTACAACTACCTAAGTTTCACAAAATCCTACTTCAGAGCTGGTTAGTTACTTCAATGAATTGCTCCAAATGCTTCAGAGACTGCCCGCTCTCGATTGCCCAACGTGCGCGACGCACGCCTTCTTTCCAGCGGCCACCGGCAGGGCCACGCTCGGTGATGACCTGACCATCATCGCCAGGTCCCATGTTGCTGGTATCGGCCTCGCAAATTCCCGAGGTGACAAGCAGACCAGCAACATTCATGAGAACAAACTCCAAGATGGGGTCATCCCGTGGAAGCTCATTCCGAAGTATGCTCATCAGCTTTTCCGCGTTTTGCTTGGGCAGTTTACCTCCGCCCACATCACTGAGGGGATGAGTAGAGAGGCCAAAGTCCGATGGCTGAAGCTGGAAGGTGTCGATCTTGACGAGTGTACGGGGATTGTCGGTATCATCATCACTCGAGTCATCTGCATCGTCTTCTGATGCTTTGTATGCAGGGTTCGGGTACTCGGAGAGCCTCCAGCAGTTTGTCTTTCCAGCACAGCTGATTTCGTCCATGTCCTCTGCACCGCAAACAATCATGGCTTTCTTCGCTCCACTTTGTTTGAAGGCCTCGGCAAATACCGGGCCAAGGCTCTGGTATGCCACACCAACTACGCGTGCTTCCAGTGCCCAGTCAACGGGGTTTGCCAAAGGGCCCATCAGGTTGAAAATCGTTCGAAGACCGAGAGCCCTGCGGACAGGGTTGGAATGCATCATGCCCGGGTGGAAATTTGGAGCGAACAAGAACGAGTAGTTGGTTTTCTCGTAGACCTGGGCCAGATTGTCAGCGGTGATGGCTGCAATCTTGGGTGCCAATGGCTGGATGGCGTTGAGGACATCGGCGGCCCCGGAGGTCGATGTTTGAGCGCGGTTGCCATGTTTAGCTGTCATGAGAAGAGGAGATGCAACTATTGAGGAGGTCGTGGAAATGTTAAAGGTCGAATGAGAATCTCCTCCAGTTCCAACAATATCACACTATACATCGCGGCCTGTCAATATACCTCAATGACAAAATGGACGGGGTGTGCATATGCGCATACCAATCCACCCTCATAATTTCCTGCTTTCAGATTACGAGACTTTATAATCTTCGTAAGCGGACCTTTCTCAACTTGGCAAGCAGCCTCGCGCATGCATTGAGAACATTTCGCAATCACATCTGCCTGTCTATCCTTGCCGGTTGAGTGGAGCAATGTGAGGAGGGCAGCGGTTTGAATTTGAGATAGCCGGTCCTCGAAGATTAGTGCAAAGGCAGAAGCAATCTCCTCTGCACTCACAGCTGGGAGATCTTGTGCGCTGACTCGAATACCGGCAGCGGCGGGGTAGGCGAGTCGCTGGAGGAGCGGGGCGATCGAAATGGACTCCGGCCGCTGAGAAGGAGGGGATGTAGATGTCGGCATACTTGAAATATTTGTAAGCGACTGTATGTTTACAGTGGCCTAGCAATCCCAATGAGGTTCCACAAGCTTAAAAAGATACCTGCAAGATCATAACAAGTGACTCAATGAGAGCCCGATATAGGCGGCAATATAATTCACCGCCTCCGGAGCGCTTTACCCTTTTGGGGCCCTAAAAATATCATTTCCCGGGGCTTGTCTCGACCTATCTTGACCTGTGTATATCAACTTCTTGAATTTTCTGGGCATTGGTAAATTCACCACCTAAAACAATCACAATGCCGCCTCGGTTAAGAATCTCGTCGCTTCAACAAATCCCTCGATGCCAATATGAACTCCGAATTATCAGGAGCGTATCCAGTGCTGCGGCCCCAGCATTCACGCCAGCTGCGTCAATTGAGCAGATGACACGCTCACCAGCTCCCGTATCAAGATTCCCTCCTACTCAGCCACCGTCGCACCGCAATCCCGAATACCGCCGGTCGCAGCTCCTACGGTCGTACACCTCCCTTCTCCGCACATCTCCTCTCATCGTGCTGTTCCAACACAACAACCTCAAGTCCATGGAATGGGCCGCCATCCGACGAGAACTAACCCTTGCCCTGCAAAAAGTGGATGAGAAGATTGCCGCCGAGGGCCGGACAGCGCCTGCCCTCGCTCCTTACATTAAGATCCAGACCATCCAGACCAGCATCTTTGAGGCGGCTCTGCGAATTGTCGAGTACTTCCGACCCAGCGAGGCTTCTCTGGGTGCAGGAAACCCCCCAAGTGCAGTTGACCCGGTGACACAAACCTCTGCCGAGATCCCTGCGCTCTCCGGCTCAAAGGATGACCCGGCCTTGACACACGACTTGTCTCGCACTGCCTACGAGGCGGTGAAAAACATGAAGGGCATGCACGAGCTTTCTCCTCTGCTCGTCGGCCCTGTTGCTATCCTTTCCATTCCTAGCGTCTCGCCTGAACACATGAAGGCGGCGCTGTCAATCCTCGCCCCCAAGGAATCCGGCTTCAAGGCCCCTACCCGCAAGGCGAACCCGGAATACCACGAGCCCATCGTTCAGAACGGTCTCAGCAAGATTAATTTGCTGGCTGCCCGTGTGGACAACCAGGTGTTTGATATCGATCAGACCAAGTGGGTCGGCAGCATCGAGGGTGGCATGGACGGTCTCCGCTCCCAGCTTGTCATGGCCTTGCAGAGCATGGGCTCCAGCGTTGCAACTACTTTGGAGGGAGCCGGCAAGAGCATCTACTTTACCTTGGAGAGCCGCCGGAGTGTGTTGGAAGAAGAGCAGAAGGGACCGGAGGGCGACAAGAGCGAATCGTCCTAATCTGGTCATGGTCATTCAGATTCATTTTCCTGTATAATAGATGATATTCTGCGTTTCGTCAAGACCCCCGCTTCCTACTTCAGGATCAATGTATACTTGTAAGAAATCAACTTTGGTGCATCATATTCTCTGTTTAACCCATGAATCATTGCATTCCCTGCATACCGCGCCTAAAAGACAAATTTCCTCCTAACCTCCTGATGTATGTAAACGATGTTTACCATCTAATCCTGTCTCAAACGCAGTTTGGCATTCATGCCCACAACGCAGCGCACAAGATCCCAATCTCCATTCAAGCCAACCCAGTCCGTAACAAGAATACCCGTCGAGCAGTCGGCATCATGCTCTTTACCTCGGCGACAGATATAATGCACGGTAGCCGGGTTGACCTTGGCAGCAATCTTCTCGGGCCATGTATTCGTCTTCCAGAAGTTACTGGCACTCAAGAAATTAACATAGAAGGGGAAAGCCTTTGTCGCATGCATATCAGGCTGAACGCCAAACGGATAGCGACAGCAGCTAGCCCGATCAATCTGCTCTGCGACGAACTTGATCTTATGCTCGATATTCATACTCTCCAGCACCTCATAGAAATCCTGGATGCAGAGCTGGCCACTGGGACACTTAGCGTTGGGAGTATTGTCCTCCCACTCAGCAGCATCAATACCCCAACCATGCCCACCATGCGCGTCCTTCAGCTTCTGCTGCAATTCAAACCGACGCATAAGAATAACCTTACCACGCGCCTCGCCCAGCGTCGGGATCTTAGGCCCAACCCACCACCGACTCCCCGCCTTGGCGTAGTGGTCGTGCAGGATGCGCGACAGATGCTCGTCAGTCGCGTTACCGGTTCCCTCCCGCTTAACGGAGACGATCAGCGTCTCGGACGGGTTGCGCTCGAGGAACCCGTCGACTTCACGCATCAGGTCGCGGAAGTACTTGTTTCCCGTCAGCGAGACGGGGAACACGCTGTGTACGAGGATCAGCTCGTCGCGCGCCGCGTCATCCGGGTACTGCGGCTGCACGCGGATGTCGAAGAATCGCACGCCGTTCTCGAGTTGCTCTTTCGGGCTCACGGCCTGGCAGCGCACCGAGGGCGGCGCGATGTAGCATGTGGGCGAGTTGTGCGTGCCTGGGATTGAGAGCGCAGAGACGAGGATGTCGTCGCGGAGCTCGCGCATCCAGGCGTTCAGGTTTGCGGACGAGAATATTGCCAATAAGGATTCTGGGGCCACGGAGACGCCGGTAAAGCGGTGTTTGGGGTTCTCGCTTAGCGCTTTCATTTCTGCGGACTCTTTTGTTGGTACTGGGACTTGGATTTGGTATTTGTGGCCTTCGACTTCGAAGAGTAGACGCATGCGCTCCTTTTCGGAGTTGACAAAGGCGCGTAGCTCGGTCTTCTTCAGTGCGAATGGCTCCAGTTTAATGTCAACATTCTTTTCCTCGAAGGGACGGCTGTCCTGTTCGATTGGGGAGACCTCGAGGCTGCGGGTTTGGTTGGTCAAGACCTGGGTGACGTTTCTGGCCATTGTACTGAAGGCATAGAACGCATATTTCTCCGGTGCCTGGAAGCGCTCAATGCGCTTCAGGACAAGTGGAGTGGAGGTGTTGTTGCGGATAGTGAGGTACTCGGCAACCATGGTGAATTGGCAATTGGCAGAGATGAAATTGGTATCAGCGCAAGTCCCTGTGCAAAGGATTCGTCTCGATATGGATTGAAATTGGCTGCCTGAAGAGCTGAGACTGGAGTGGGTTACCCCTCGACTAGGGATCAGCGGATGGTCTCCGATAGGGGAGCCCTTGTTCTTGGCACATAAGGCTGATTCGCGAGGACATCTCGATCGTAAGACAAAGCGGAGATTTCCAAGATCTGTGCGGAGTACGATGTGCGATGTACGATCTAGGCAATTAGTGTCGCGCCTTGATTTCCTCTGCCACTTCTGGGCTTTCTCTTTCCGTTATAGTGCTCAGACCTTGCCGCTTTTTGCTCACTGAGTACAGCTGAGCACGCTCCTGAGTGTTCCATAATCAGCAGGCTCGCTCACTGGGCATCACCTGAGCGCTCTGAGTTGCTCAGGTGCTCACTGGAGCAAAGCGCGGGGAGCAGCTAAGTCAGCAGCTCACCTCAATAAAATGCACCACGCTAGCCCCATCCAAATGTAGTTGTTCACCAGAACTCTTGACCATTGTCCCCTTAACGAAAGGCCGGCGTCATCAATTTGGCCGTCGATCCTGGTTGTTTCGCCTCCGAGGTTGAACCTTAACGAACCTCTAGAGTTTAATGGGCGGTTGGAGGTTCCAGGGTAGGGACCCATGCGGAGGTCCAAAGCCAGGAAAGGTGTACGGGGTATAGCAAAATGGCGCGCCACTTGACGAATTGAGGATATTTCTTGATTCTTAAAAGCCTATATAGCTAATAAGATCCTACCCTCTTGCTCTATTGAATTTCTAGAGCTTCGGGGGCGTATTGGCGGCATGGTGGGTGGTTGAATTGACTAAGTGCTAATTCCAGGACGCGTTTTGGACAGAGTGGGCCACTCACTGGCTTGTGGAATAACGTTACCACGATTTTCACTCAAGATCTCTAGCTAACTAAACTAACAACGGTCCAAAATTGACAACTTGGTTGGGCACAATTAGGAAGCAAAATGGATACATAAAAGTCACATAAGCGGTCTGTAAAAAAGATATACAAAGCAATGGTAACATTCTTGGGTTTTGACATGTATGAATAAAGAAAGAAAATATATAATTGCTTCGCTTCGCTCCGCAATAAAAATAGCAAACGAAGAGCAAGCAAGCAAGCAGATTAGCAAGCCAACAAGCAAATAAGCAAACGATCCGTAGAGTCACATGACGGGCCATCATACAGATCGTGACAGTTGTGATAGATTTCCCTACTGTGGAACTGTGGGATTCATAAATCAACGCTTGCCATGACTTGTTTGGACAAAATGACCTATTACTTTTCAGATTGTCCCAGGGGAGCATGCGTTCGGATCAATTCTGATATGAGTTCGTTTCGTTGAGCTGCTTCCTCTTCATAAACATTGTCCTTGAATAGAAGACTTAGGCCCTCCAAGCTTGTTCCCTTTGTCTCGGGTACAAAGAAGAACACCCAGATCAAAGCACACAGAGAAGTGCAGGAGAAGAGTGCGAACGATCCGTAGGGGGCGGCAGCGACCAAAGATGGCACTATAAGCCCGACGACAAAGTTGCTCAACCAGTTAGATGCCGTACTGAGTGCCATTCCCTCGGCGCGGACGATAGATGGAAGGATCTCACTTGGAAGGCCCCAGGCAATGGGACCCCAGGAGGTTTCAAAAAAGAACATGAAAAGGAACATGAATGCTGTTCCAGCTTTAGCGCTGGCCTGGTGCGCTGGCCAGTCCGTATAGGAGATTCCAACGATCACGGAATTGATGATATGACATGACATCAACATGAATGTTCCGAAAAGCAGGAGGGGTCTCCTACCGATACGATCGATAATGAACACCGGAACAGTGGACCCAATGAGTTGAACAATCGAAAGGAGTCCCGATAAAGTAAGTCGCTGCTCATAGTCGTAACCAAGCTGCGCAAAAAGAGTGGTTGAATAATATGTGAAGCCGTTGACACCAACCCATTGTTGAAAAGCGTTGAGAACAATCCCTATATAAATGCGTTTGATGTATCGCGATGAAACACAGTTTCCCCATTTTCGCCCCTCAGCTTTGCATTGCTGCCAAAAGGAAGAACCTCCGGTCGAGTGCTCTCGCCAGCGTCCGTTGAGACGTTGTTGGAGTAAAATGTCGCATCGGATGTTGATCCACTCCGCCTGAATCCTTGCATCACTCTCCGGAAGGCAACGAAGTTTTGACAAAGTTTCAAGGCATTCTTGGTCTCTCCCTTTAATGCCCAGCCAGCGAGGAGAGAAGGGCAACACCAAAACGATTCCGAGCAAAACTGTACCAGGAAGCATTTGAGCGACAAATGCGGTCCGCCAAGACCAATGGCCAGAAATATGCCGAGCACCGTAAGTGGTATAGTATGCAGATACAATTCCCAGGATCAGCATCCACTGCTGCAGAGTGTAAAGAGCCCCACGGATGTGCGGTGGAGCAATTTCTGAAATATACAGTGGCGCAATCATCGATGCTCCACCAACGCCCACTCCCCCAATCAGGCGCCCAAATACCAACATCGTGTAATTCACTGCACCAGCTTGCAGGGCACTGCCAACAAGGTACCAAAACACAGCCACGATGATAGTATATCGACGAGAGATGCGATCACAAAAGATTGCGGATTGCAAAGCTCCGACTACCGCACCCAATTCAAATATTGCTGTGACCAAGCCCTTGTAGAAAGCCGCTCTGGGTGATTGTTCTGGATTTACCTCCGGGAATGAGTTGAGAAAATCATCGATGATCAGAGTCACATTGATGAGCCCCTGGTCGTATCCGTACAGAAACCCGCAGACAGCTGCTGCCCAGGAGCAGAGCACAACGACAGGCGACTTCACAAAAGACTTGATTCCAGGTCTACCGTAGCTCTGACTGAAGTATTGCTGGTCTCTCAACATATGCTCCAGATCACCCAAAGTTGTGTTTCTTTCGGGAAAGTCATCGACAGGCGAGGTATCAATGGAGTCTGACGGATGTTTGGTGTCCTTTGACATGACGAAGAGAATAGGTAATGAAGATTGAAGGATATTGGGATATTTCGATGCGCATGGAAGGGTGATACGGGGATTCCCGGCTTCTTTTATACGTGAGCATCATCCAAAGCGCCGCATTTTCAGATATGAAGACCGCATAACATAAGTAAGGGGTCTTGGAAAACGCTGCAATGCTCCAGAAAAATCCGCGTCAAGATAGGTCAAGATAGGTATCTGGTCTAATGCCAATCTACCAATGTCGATATGCATGAACCTTTCACAATGCAACAAGAAGGGCCGGGTCAAAACAAGGTTATGGAGTCATTAGCCGACTCCGGGTTCCAAGAAACCAAAGATAAGACATGACTGGTATCCAATAGCTACGCAGAGAACTGGGCCCAGTCACAGATTATCAAAATTGATGAGAGAAAGGCCCGACCCACGTCGAATGCATAGAAATGTTTGGAACTCGGCCTGATCGGAGAATCTCATTTAACTTCATGAGAATGTCGCTATCTTCGGCTCCCTGCCTCAATCCCATTTCATATCCCGTGTTTCTTTTCCTTGCCCAATGTCTACCTCGACCATCGGGTTCCAACCCAATGAGACCTCCGTACGAGCGATTCGCACAGTCATTTCGGTTGACCCCCATAGCGAACCCTTGAGTCAGCCAAATATTCATAATAGGTGGCATCCGGATATTCCATTTGTTACAGAAGTGAAAGAAGGTGAATCTTTCAACGTTGAATGTTGTGACTTCACTGGAAACTTCATTTCCAACAATGACTGCGCAGACGACGTCCTAGACTTTTGCTGGGAGAGAGATCATCATCTGTCAGGGCCGATTCGGGTTGCCAATGCTCAACCCGGAGATGTACTCTGCATTGACATTTTAGAGGTCCAGCCATTCCCAGATCGAATGTGGGGGTTCTCTCTTATTGATCCCGGACTTGGGCCTCTTGACCAACCTCAAACAAGAGTGGCCAAGAGTATTTGGGACTTCCATGGGAAAATGGCGTCTTCTCGCCATATAAAGGATGTCTCCTTTTGTGGGAGACCACAGTGTGGAGTAATCGGCACTGCACCTTCCCATGAGCTGCTGCAACGTTGGTCAGAACGAGAAGGGGCCCTCAACGAAAACCACGAAAACCACGGAGTGGTCTGTGCACAGATGCCTGTCGAGAGCGGGGCTTATGTGGGACAAAAGCTTCCAGAGAACCTTTTGAACAAGATCAAAACAGAGGGTGCAAGAACAAAGCCCGCCCGTGAACATGGTGGCAATATCGACGCCGGAAGCCTTACCGGCGGCTCTCGAATTTACCTCCCTGTCTACGTCCCGGGAGCGAATCTCTCCGTCGGGGATCTCCATTTTTCTCAAGGTGATGGCGAGCCCACATGTGCCATTGAGATGGCCGGTATTGCCACGCTCAAATGCTCGGTTTTTCCGGGTGGAATGGAGAAACTAGGATTGAGCTGTCCCATTGTGGTGCCCAGTCCTGCCGAGCCATTGTACCGCCAACAACTCGCTTTTCATGGCATCTCAGTGGACAAAAAAGGCAATCAGAAACGCAGTGATTTGACGACCTCATACATCCAAGCTGCTACCCACGCTATGGACTATCTGCAGCGCTTCGGATACTCCCATGAGCAGGCCTACACACTACTGGCTACTGCTCCGGTTGAAACAAAAGTTTTAGCAGTGCCCAACATTCCGACTGCGAATGTTTCTGTTGGAATACCAACTCAGATCTTCAACTTCAATATCAATCCTACCCCAGATGGCCCGTCACCAAAAGATCGTGGGTCTCTGGCGTATCTTTCGGAGGCCCGAGAGAAAGCCTTCCAAGAAGCTCGCAAAGGATGCAGCGAGACACCTTTCGATAGACCATGATCTTTCTGAGCATTTAGATGTCATAATCGCAGCTCATGGCCGTCAAATTTTTGATTTCTTTTGATAATTTCCTTTTCATACAGGACTACTTGAGGTTTTCACGATCTGGAAGATCGATGGGTCGTTCTTTCCCATGTAAGAAGGAAACGTTCCTTTCTGCTACGCAAGCGAGCTAAGCCAGCGCATTAGAGATTTCCATAATTTGGCAAGAGGCGTACAAAACCAAATATCTCGAATAATCGTTGGTCTTTTCTTCTCTTTCTCTTCTTCGTACTTATTGTTTCGTTAGAAATGCACTCTTCTGTTCTATAAACCTGGCACGTAACAAATCGAACTTTGACTGATTGATTGATTGATCGCAATTTAGCTCTACGGTACTAAGTAACAGGTTGTAGGGGTGAAGCAGGCCTAGGACGTAATAAAGGTCCGTACAATCGTATAGTTTTGAAGGTTTAAATTTGAAAGTGGTAACTACTTATTGTTATGTTACATACTAGATCTTGTCAGGCTTGAGGCTGCATTTCTAACGAAACAATAAGTACGAAGAAGAGAAAGAGAAGAAAAGACAAGCGAGGATCCAAATTGCATGGTTTTGTGTGTCCTTCGACAAACCCTACAAAATCAGATATACTCGCTTTTTCTCGCTTGCGTGTTTGGAAAGAGCGTTTCCTTCCAATACAACAAGAACAGTCCATCGCTCCTTCCCAGGATCTGTCAGATCGTAGGAATATAACCCCCCGGGGAAAAATCTCTCGTCCCTAGATAATACCGAAAACGGACTAGTGATAGTTGTCAGAAACCAAGGCTGTTACCATTTCTTTACCTGTCTTTTTACTGGCCGCTTATCATATATAATAATACCCTTTAAGAAGAGTCACTCGAAAGTAGAGTATAAGGGTCAGCCAATCAGCAAAGGCATCTGTGAATTCTGACCAATGATGCCGCCAGAGCTTGATTAATTATGGGGCCGATGAGGGCCGAGTCAGCACTGCGGTCCCGTAACCCCATTCCATTGAGTTTATCTATCAAGTACTATACACAGCTTTTCTCATCCCAGCGTGCTGCCTTTCAAATGCCATACGCAATACAAATTTGAACTCATCTTAATTTGTCGAGCATATCGAGCATGGAGACCATCAAGGCATTCCTTGAGCCACACACTGAACTAGGCGAAAGTCCTCTATTCAGGAAGTCCGATAACACACTCCACTATATCGACGTGCTCGGCTATGCGATCCATGTTCTTGACTTATCGTGCATACCGTATTCAAGTAGGACGATCAACCTCCCTGAGGCTGTTGCTTCCATGAATTTTTGCCGACAAGGCGGATACATCCTCTGCACCTTCAACTCACTTGCTATGCTGGGAGATGATGGGAGCTGGACAGAATTGGTGAAGGTCATCAAAGGTGATGATAGAAAGACGACAAGGCTGAATGATAGTGCAGTGGATTGTATGGGGCGATTGTGGTTCGGCTCTCTTGATATCTGGCTTGATGGATCGTGAGTCCCCTCCTTTCCTTATGCAATTCGCTTTTATTTAACTCATTGTTCCAGTGATGCAAAGCGTCCCGAAATCCCACAAGGATATGTTCCGACCGGCGGCCTGTATCGATACGATCCAGATCAGACTCTCCACATAATCCAACATGGAGGGGTAGTCTGTTCAAATGGGATAGGCTGGACATCCGATCACAAGGTCATGTTCCACACCGATTCATTTCGTCAAATAATCTGGGCGTACGACTTCGATTCGACTACTGCAGAGATCAAAAATCAACGAGTCCATATTGATCGACGTGGGCAAACTGGCGAACCTGACGGTCTGATTGTTGACGACGATTGGAACGTTTTCACCTTCATTTGGAATGGATCTGTTGTTGAAAAATACAACCCCAGAGGCCAGTTCATTCAAAAATGGGAGTTGAACGCTTTCCGAGTCACACACGGAGCTTGGGTTGGCCAGGATATGAATGAAATCATAGTCACCAGTGCTAGGAATGACGGCCGAAAAGGGGACCCTTTGAATGAAGGTGGGGGCTTGTTTTGGTTGAAGAACGTCACGGCCAGTCAAGGAATGCCTAAGGGGAAGTTCGATCTTTCATTCTAATGATGATGTGTCTTGAAATACATCATCTATATGGTTTTTTTTCATAAGAGTCCGAAACCTTCCGGTAGAACATCGGCTGCCACGCATACTGCAAGCCGATACTATTCATTTAAAACAATCAACTCAGAAGACCGTTGACCACCGAAGAGAAAATCATAATCATACATGTCTTATACGCGTCGATAGTTCACCGTGTTAGATTGCAGCTTTAAGAATTCACCATATCAGCATTCTTGCTTGCAGTCTGCGATATAATACAAAATCGTTGTAATGGTAGCACAATGGTAACAATCTTGGTTATTGACATATGAAAATCCCTAATCCTTAATACGTTCGCTTAGCTCTTTTACACAATAGGGAAGAACGTTCTTCTCCTCGGTCAGGAAGGAACTCCTCAACAATCATAGGAAGTAACCGCTGATCTTTCAGATCGTAACATTACATGGGAATCTCAACTCTCTTCCTCTTCTCGCATAGCTACACACAGGAGACCTCAACACTATCAGCCTGATCCCTCCATAGTGCCAAAAAAACTTGGAATTGTAACGGCATTGCGACAAGAATAACGCACTAATAGCAACACAAAAATCCATATCTTTCTATCAACACACCTGCCGACGGGAACGCCGCCTAGCATGGATATTCAGTCCGGATACTCGAAAATAGCCCGAGAGACTGCATCACGGCTGGTTGGGTGCGTGCACAGGTTCAGGAGAAACCCTTGGGAGTCGAATTTGGAAGTTCTAAAGTTCGTCTCGGCATTGAAAATCTCTATCGACGACAGAGTGCTTGGCTAAAATGGTTCCCATGAGCTCAGAGTCATCGAAATGAACCCTTGGCTTTATTTGCAGCAATGTTTCTTTAGAGTGATTCACCTCAGCAATCAATTGTTCAATACTTCTGTATGCCAATTTCAGGTTCTAGGTGCTTTTTTGACTTACGTCCATCAACATCACCTCTTTGTTTGCCCCCGCTTCTTTAGACGGTAGCGACATCTTATACCAAGTAAAGTACAGCGATGACAATATGGACACTGACTATCAGGTTTTGACTTTTTCCTTGTTGACAAGCATTCTTCGTCTTTCTGATTTACAAATCTCCATGGTACTATTCTGAGTGATTTTATGGAGTACGAACTGAGTTCTTGCTTCTGTTTGGAAGAAGCGCAACTAGCGAGACTGCATCCGGTTAATAGAACTTTGATTGATTGATTGATTGATTGATTGTCAAAAGAGTTGTATTGGTGGATGTGATGGGCGCTATGAGAGAACCCAGGACTGTTGAAGGTATGTTCTATCTTCATCAACCAATGTGTCGCCGTCCACTCATCAAATCCACCGTGTTCAGTTGAACCCAGCTCGTTTTATGCCAGAATTTCCACGATATGGCGAGGAAAATGAAAACGACGACGATGACATAATTCATAAAAAATTTCTGCACGCTCCAAGGCGCAAACGATGTCCATCCTTGAAAAAAAATGAAAAAGACTGAGATTCCAAATCCCAAATAAGCACCATATGGCCAAAACTGTGCTTGGTAAGGCAAAATAGATACAGAAACGTTCTGAAGCCGCATCGCCTTGCGAATGCGTATGTGGCATAAACAAATCGAACCCCCTATTCAAGCATGTTATATCAGCAAGAGAACTCTGGATGACATGGGATGTAATATAAGACTGACATGTAATGAATGTCGCAACCCCTGTCATTGAAATAACCCAGGTGTACACAACGCCTGCACTAGAGGACAGATTGAGAAATGAGAGGAATCCGAGTAGGTGAAAGAAAACCAAAGCCACTATCGGAATGCCGCCTCGAACAGTGTAAAGGAACATCTTAGGAGCAGCACCTTCTTTGGCCAGTCCATACAGAGTCCTTGACCCCACATAAACAGCACTGTTCACTGCTGAGAATATGGTGAGTAGGATGACAGCATTGACAGCATCAGCACCTTTTCTTGCTCCTACATGGTTGAACGCGATGACGAAGGGTGAGCTGGCCGTTTTACTGCTTTCGCTTAGCAGATTTGGGTCATTGGATGGGACTGTGATTGTAAGGAAGAAGATCCCTCCCAGAAAGATGACAACGATGCGCCAAATAATGCTTTTCACTGCCTTTGGAATGTCCTTGTTGGGATTTTGAGATTCCCCCGCTGTGAGGCCGATCATTTCGGTGCCACTGTATTGGAGAGCCGCAAAAACGAAAATTTCGAAGACTCCTTTCACCCCATTTGTAAATGGACCTGGGTCCTCATAGTATTTGAATCCAATCTTTTGGCCACCAATGACCCCAGAGGAGATCAGAATAGCACATAGGAAAAATATTGCAATAGCCAGTACCTTGAGCAATGCGAGCCAGAATTCCGCTTCGCCAAAGGCCCATACACCAAGTAAAGCGAAAGACATGAAAAAAACCCTAAGAGGACGTTAGCTTCAACTTTTTTTTCATTAGCCTTTCAGGGCAGTATCTACCAAAAGACCAAAGTCCAGCCCCAGCGAGGCATCGATGTATCCCAGTATGTTAAAATCAATCCGAGGTTATCTGAAATGATGCTTTTGTTAGAATGACAGTATTCACAGCGTTAGCAAATGTCCTCGATTGTGGTTTACGCACTGTATTCTGCCATTATGATACCGGTCCATAGAAAGAAGTAGTTCCAGCCCAGAGCGAATCCCCACGCTGGATCAATAAACCTGGAGCTGTAATGGGTGAACGAGCCTGATACTGAGATAAAGGCGCCTAATTCACCAAGTGATTGCATCACAAACCAAAGGAGAATTCCAACGACAGAGAAACAAATAAGGAGGCCGGCTGGTCCTGCGGTAGATAGGCCGGTTCCCATTCCCATAAAATATCCGGGTCCAATTACACCACCGATGGCCATCATCATCTGTCAAAATCAGACACCTCAATTTAGCATCTTTGGGAAGGGGTGATGGTGAGTTGGAGAGTTGACCTCGGGAGCAAACTACTTACCAAATGTCGCTGTGAAAGGGAACGGCTTAAGTGCCCATTGCTGATCTCGCCTTCTTCGACGGTCCCTTGGATATCTTTGGGCTCATCTTGGCTCACTTTGACATCTTTTGAATTGTTTTGGCTCGTATCAGCCATATTGATAGATATGTCGACTGGTAGTCTGGACTCTGTCTTGTTCGAGGTTTGAGTAAGGAGTTGTGGGTGTTCTGCGTAGATGCGAATTAATTTGCCGCGTTCCTCTGATATATATAATAAGCCCTTGTAAAATTGGAAGTCTGACTAGAAAGACTCGACTAGCGCTTGAGTGTAATCAATTAGGTAGCAAGGCCTGCAAATGACACACCAGAAAGCAAACTGACTGACTCGGCCCGGGCTAAGGTTCAAGATAGATGGGATACGTGAATAGGCACTGGCAGATTAGATCAAAGCCAATGATAAGCAACCTCAGGATTCCCGAGGAAGCAATCCAATAAACTCAGGAGATAAGTATTCCTAGGGCATTTCGATTTCCCCGCGCAAGTCAGGTTCCACACTTGCACCAAGGTTATCTTTCTCAGAGAGCATGGGTCTGACATGAGATATCTAGCGAGCTGAACTCCGAGAACTACGTAGAAATAGAGCCACACATCGAAGAAAATATGGGCGAAACGCAGTAGAGAGTGAATGCGTGATCACACTTAATGTCATACACCTCATCAACATACACCGAAATATAGTCATCTGGCCTAAATACGACAATCGACATCGACAGATTTGATAACAGAGGCAAGTTCGCGGCTGTATCTCAAACGTATCGCTATTATCATTACCAGGCATTTTTCTTCTTCATAACGTCTCGTCACAACCTGTAAAGAAACCGGGGTATATCTGTACACCCCTAGATGAGGGTGGAGGCTGTGATTAAATTAGTCTTTCTCGTTCAGCGACATGTATGTTTCTTTCGCCGCATTCGGTTATCGATCGACTTTTCTTACTGGAAAAACAGTAGCGGTGTATTCCAATAGATTCCACTGGGACGTATAATTTTAGTACCTACTTTGTTCGTGATCGTGTTAGTCACATGTGTGTATGTTGACCGGGCATGCCAGTTTGGTTGATGGATATGTAGAAATATGTTCGTCTGCACAATTGGCTTGCTATTATAGGTGGAACGTTGAGCACTGGAGCCCGGCTCCTTACTTCAATTTTGATGCTATCTGGTTTTACCTCGGCTTCCAATATCAAATTGGCATGGATCGACTTCGACTGGACGGCTTTGGATCTGAAGGAGTAAGTTTCGAAGATTCCACATGGCCTAGATAACGTAGGGTTGAGCAATGCCCCCTCGTTCTCCATGTTCTAAGCCGGCGTTCGCCCTTTTTCGCCACAGAAATTGGACAGAGTCATCCCAGGTTCGACTCGGCCCATGCGAGTGCTCGGGGATAACAGACAATATCAGTATTTTCGAAATATTACAAAATACGTCACGGCTTGTTTTGATGGATGTTGATTGCCATAGTGTTCAATGGGGGTTTCGATGAGCTGTGGGGTTCAGTTTTTGTAATCGAAGTTCGTTTCCTAAAAGCGTATAATTACGGCCCTCTAGTTTGACTGGAACATTTCGAGAGTACTAGATGCTTTTGATTTCTTTGCCGTGGGTAAGTGTAACTAGTTAACTATAGGGGATGGTAATATAATGTCGACCAGAAAATGAACCCATTAGACCCCCTAATATTACCTTGGTCTTTGTTATGGTCTAGTGGTAAAATACGTCGTATTTGTTCAACGTTATATTACCAATCCCCTAACTATATTATACAAAAGTTTGCTAAAAGCGTCATATCATTGAGAAAGCTATTCAGATCTTCACTAAGATAAAGAAAATCTGACAAGAAACCAAGCTAGTATCCTATAGACTTATTGACTCTGTTGACAACCTCCTTGTTCTGCGCTCGTCTCACCAAATTATACGCCAGTATCTTAAGAACGCGTCCAGTGTAGTGGTTCGAGTTTCCAACTTATTGTATTTCCACAACTTGTGGTCAGCCGGCAAAGGCTCGGGGTCAGTGACATCGAGGGCTGCTCCACGGATCTTACTCGACTCCAGTGCTTCAATGAGTTCGTTTGTGTTGATGACTGCGCCCCTACCGGGGTTACTCACGTAGGCCCTCCTCTTGCTAAAAAGGGCGAATTGCTCCCGGTCAAGTATGCCACGCGTGTCACGCGTTTGAGGAAGGGTGATCGCGAGCAAATCGAGGTCGGAGGCCAGGAACACATTTAGCTGATCTTTTCCGTAGAACCATTTGGATGGGAATCCGCCCTCGGGATCACCCAGACCGGGCTCGGTGAATGAGTCTTCTTTTCGCGACTTGGCAGTTAGTCGCTTGTGGAGTGTGTAGGCGTGCACATATACCTCTGTTTGACCGTGGGGCACTGGGCCGAGTCAGGAAGGGGCCGTGCACGCGATACGCAGACGCGGTGCTCAGGACTTTTTTTTGGGAATGTGTCCCGATGGACTTCAGCCTGGGGTTTCTCCAGTGTTGTTCATATCATGAAGTAAGCAAGTGACTAATTCCTGACAGGATCAGTTGCACCCTTAACGGATAAATTTTGGATAGGTAACTTTCCACAATCATACAAATCATAGAACGGGAAGTGGACAGGGATTCTTCAACGAATGAGGTCGAAGAATTTCTGATTATGACTCGGCCTATGCTAGAAGAATTCACAGATCCTTGACCACCAAGGCATAATGTGGAGGGCCATTTCAGTATGGCCCCGTATCATCGCACCATAGACGAGAGATAGTACCCAGTCGTTGACACACGATCGGAGCGGAGTATGGACCTGACTCGGCTCGCGAAGCTGGTTAAGATAAAAATGCGGCCATTCTTCTACCCACTGCAGCCATTCAACCTTTCTTTCTTCGATTCTCTGCTTGTTCGTCATCATGGCCACTCATCCCCTTGACCCCGCTCTTCCCGAAGAGATTCAACTTGCTACGGACTTGGTCAAAGGCAGCTACCAAGGTGTAGATCTGCACTTCAAGGCTGCAGGCCTCGAAGAGCCACCGAAGGATATACTTGTCAAGTTTTTGGAGGCCGAGCGCAACAATCAGCCACTCCCAGCGATTCCTCGTTGCCTATTCCTCATCTGGTATATCAAGAGATCTCCTCGTCTTTTCGAGGCCATTGTCGATGTCACCAACAAGCAGTTTGTTCATCATGTTGAGCTCCCGCGAGACTTCCATGGACCTGTTGACCGATCCGAGATGAACGAGGCTGCCCAAGTCACCATGGCCGATCCACGCGTGAAAGCGGAAATACAAAGACTCAAGATCGACGACACCACTGTGGTCCTCGATCCCTGGGACTATGGAGTTGATGGCGAGGATACCCAGACTCGCCATACTCAGGTAAGTTTTGACAGGGTCTATAATCTCAACAGAAGCTTTTTTTGACTCAACAATCCGCGTTAGGTTTTCATGTACATGCGAAACCCCGAGAACAATGATCCGGATTCAAACCACTACTGTTTCCCTTTGGATTTCATGGTGATTGTGAATCTCTGCACTATGCAAGTCGAGAAGATCGTCCGTCTGCCACTAGGAAGTGATCAAGCCGCGACTCCCGTCGGCTCATCTGTTCCACACCGTCGTACCCAACCCGTGGAGCCCGAATACGACCACCGATTGCAGAAGAACCCTCCTCGTACAACCCTGAAGCCTTACCAGGTCTTGCAACCCGAAGGTGCTTCGTTTACTGTCGTGGGCCAGCTTGTCGAGTGGGAAAAATGGCGTTTCCGCGTGGGTTTCAACTGGCGTGAAGGCTTAACCCTTCACGATCTCTCATTTGATGGCAAGAGCGCCTTCTATCGGCTTTCGCTTTCAGAGATGTTTGTTCCGTACGGTGACCCTCGAAATCCTATCTACCGCAAGGGCGCTTTCGATCTCGGCAATGTGGGTGCTGGTGTCACGGCAAACAATCTACAACTTGGCTGCGACTGCCTCGGCGTGATCAAGTATTTCGATGGCTGTGTTGTGGCTGCTGATGGTAGTCCTGCCCTTCGACCCAATGCTATCTGTTTGCACGAAATCGACAATGGAATTCAGTGGAAGCACACGAACCACCGCACAGGAAAAGCCACGGTGGTGCGGAAGCGTCAGTTGGTCCTGCAGACTATCATCACCGTCGCCAACTACGAATATATCTTCATGTGGTATTTTGATCAGTCTGGAGAAATCACCTTCGAGACCCGCGCCACTGGAATTCTATCTACTCAGCCGATTGATAAGGATGCAAAGGTCCCGTGGGGCACTCGCGTCGCTGATGGTGTCATGGCTCCTTACCATCAACACTTGTTCAACATTCGTATCGATCCTGCTGTTGGGGGTCATTCGAACAGTTTTGCGTCGACTGACTCTGTTCCGATCCCGTGGGACGATGACCTGAACCCTCTTGGCACGGGCTACGTCACTGAGGAGAAGATTCTGGATCGTGCTGGCCCTGTTGAAGACGACTTTTCCAAGGGTAGAGTATTCAAGATTTTAAATGAAGGACTGCAGAACCCGATCTCATTGACCCCGATCGGATATAAACTCGTTCCTATTCGGTCTCAGGTAAGTTTGATACTGGGCAGCTTTAAATATCTATGACTACTAATTAGGATCTTACTCTAGTTACTTCTAGCCAGACCCGGTAGCTGGCACTGGCGCCGATCTGAGTTCTGTGAGCATTCCATCTGGGTTACCAAGTACAAGGATCGGCAGCTATTCCCGGCCGGTGATTACACCAACCAATCGCTTGGGGGTACCGGCATCAAGTCATGGCTTGAGGCCCGTGATAGTGTGCGAAATGAGGACATTGTCATATGGCATACTTTCGGGTTCACGCACAACCCTCGTGTTGAGGACTTCCCCATCATGCCAGCTGAAATCGCTCAGGTGCATCTTAAGCCCTACAACTTTGCCCTATACAACCCCACCAACGACGTGCCGCCTTCGAACCAGTTGGCCAACCAGAGTGTCGCTTATCAAGCGCCGACTCAGTCCTTGTCGCCAGCTCAGACTCAAGAACAAAACAAGGCCACTGATTGCTGCAAAAGCCATTTATGATACTTTGTCCACTATCTTCCCTTCGATTTCAATAGAAGAAGACGCTTCGCTCTGCAATTATCTGTTTTGTTGAATTTCTTTCTGGCAACTTGACGCAGTTGGACAAGCTCACTATCGCACTATGCAGTTTGTAGACCTTTCTTTGGCATTCCTTTCCCTTTCTTTCACTCCTCTGCAGACAGCTTGCTGTGTTGGCATTGGCTTTGTATGAGCCTGCAGAGATGCTTCTTCTGGTTTCTAGAGGATGAGATCTTGCGGCTTTGTAGCATGGAGCTATATAGAGAGCTTCATGACAGTAGCTAGATCTTCACCTTCCATCAATCCTACACTTCATCATCTTTGGTTTTGGTCACTTTCTCGTCTTCATTCTGTAGATGGTCATACTACATCACAACTTTCTGCTTTAACCTGTTGGTAGAATCCTGAGCTGCTCAAGCCAATAAAAAAATATCGACGAGCTACACTAAATTCTGACTGCATAGACAGACTTTGTGTAGCATCAACTTCCCCGATGGGCTGCATTTATCAGTTAATATTACCATTTCCTCACCTAAGAAACAAAAAGTGCTTCTCAAGAGCAGGTATATTCCATGCTTTTCATATATAAGAGAGCCTTAGGTATGAAGAGCCAAATGCAATTGAGCACTTGATTCATGCAATAAGGTTACGTTTGATCATGGCTGAGATTGACCATTCAAAAAAGTTTTAATGGTGATGATAGTGGTGATGATGATGAATATGAACATGATGAATATGGTGGTGCTCCTGGTGTTGCATACTGCCAGCAGCAGGATTATGCATTTCTGAAGTTGGGTCCTGAATAAATGAAGATATTGCTTGCTGAACAGAGGCTTCCTCTAATTCGCTGCTTAGCATGGAATGAGTCAGAGGTGGATGTGTTTGATGTGCGCTGCCACAGGCTTGATGTATGACTGTAAATTCGCTGTCGAGAGTATTTCCCAAGACTGTTTGTGGATCTGGAGACCTGTCATTCGCGGGTGTGAATGAAGGAGCTGTAATCCCAGGAACTTGATAGTGTAATTGTGGAGATGGTTGTGGGCTCAGAAACATATTCGTGGGGGTTGAAAGAACGCAATCAATCCAATCTAACTGATTCATGGTAAAATCCAAAAGGGAAGAATCAGAAGGCAGAGCGGTAGATGCCAGAGAGGCATCTAGGAGGTCGATAGTGGTGGGGTCAGACGATGCGTCAGGAGACGAAATGAAGATCTCGGAGTTCTGAGACGACGGCGAAGTCCTTGAATTCTCCGTAGAGGATTGGGGCATTGGCGAATTTTCCTGAGAGAAACCAATGTCACTACAGATATTTCTGGCCAGTTTTCTCCATCGATTCCGGCAGGTCAGCGGAGGACGACCAGGTAGGCCTGCTGCAATGACAGTCCATTTATGACCCAGTTGTTTCACTTTGGCCGCCAAATATTGATCTTCCTCGGGTGTCCAGACTTTGAGGCGATTTTGCACTTGGGGATTAAGGATGTCATTGTATCTTTTCGCACATTGATCATCCTTTCGTCCTTTGATGAGAAGTGCTAGAGGTACACTTAGCCGCCGGACATGTAAGAGTATTGGATAGAAAAAACTTACCTATATCCTTCCAAGCAGGCCCAATTCGTTGATAGGCATCAAGCAAGAGCCTATCTTCATCCTTTGTCCAGCGTCCTTTGCGAAGAGAGGGATCTAAAGAATGAAACCAACGCTTCCGACAATCCTTGTGAATATGGTGATATCAGCGATGCTCTGGCACGCCAGCCCGATGCATAAAAGAAGAGGACCTACTTTATTCGTTCTCCCGGATAAATTTCTGGAGATCTCTTGCCATTTGCTGTTTCTGCCCCGTTGGTCCCCAAACTGCCCGATGAGCTTGGTCAATTTTTCGTCTTCCGATTTAGACCAGGGACGTCGAGGAGACATGAAAGCTGTATGTCACACGGGTAATCTATGAGAGTAGCATCAATGATCCTCACAATACAAGATAGCGCGTTCCAAGTATACCATGGCGAATTCGACGACCTCGGGAGTAGAAGTTCTATGCGGGGGTGAGCAATTCTCCGCGAGATAACTCCTATCTCTAGGGTGGGTCGAATCCACTATCGCTTTCCTTCGCCGAAATTCGGTTATCTCTGCTCTCGGTAATTTACTCCCCCTCTTTTTGCTTTGGTTGTTCTAACGATGGAGAACTTTGGAGTGGAGATTGACAAAAGCAGTCGTATTTCGTAATTTTCTTGGGCCGAGTCAAACTAGTTACGGCCTAGCGTTATGTACTACGTGTTCGCCTGCCCCAAGGTGCTGGGATCAAACTAAAGCATATCGCAACCAAGGGTGCTTGAAGTCACGCATGGTTTATCATTTGAGGGATAGGCTATTGACCCGGTGGCAATATCTCATAACTCGGCCCAAAATCAAGAGCCGTTACTTGCTCAAGGAATCTCTCTCGGAATGGATCTCTCTTGTAAATATTGTTGCAGACGATCTCTCTGCCTTTGTATTGTGATCAAGAGCTATCACAGAATAGGAGATCATGGAATCACAAAGCATTTTCCAAAATTCCTTCTCGGACAACCCATTTGGTCACCAAGGGGAGCTGAAAAAGAAGCTTGGCTTCATGTCTATGTTAGGTCTTGCGTTTATCGTTCTTACGTGAGTATTCTTATGGCCCTCAAGGGGCTCTAGCTAATGCGGACAGGACATGAACATCTATGGCATCTTCCATGAATATGGTACTTCAGTTAGTTACCTAGGAAATACCCAGGCTTACTCCGCACAATTATATATTGTACGCACTTGTTTCATTTACCTGGATTGAAGCCATTATGTCTGGGATCGTATACAATGAGAGGAAGGCTCAATATTGTCAATATTCTCCGGGTTATTCTGATTGAGGTCATTGACTTAATAACCTTGGTACGGTGTACGCATACCGTGGATCTAGCTTCATCAATAAACATAGTGTACATAGACTACATACATACTAAAGAGGGGACCCCTGAGGGGCACCGACAGCCCTGTCTGCGAAACAGGTGTGAGAGCAGAGTCATCACTGGGAGTAGTAGGGTGCTAGAGAGGAGAACACCATGGGGTGACTACTGAGAATGGAAGTGGAAAGGTGTCTGCGTTGCTATCTATGCCTCGGGAGTGCTTTTATGTCACATAGCCGCTTAGTCATCCTGCTCTGGAAACCCCCACTGTAGTACCTACATACGTAAATGTAGGTATTCATTGAACCATTGGGCTAATATGTCTGCTAGAGAGCTTGTCACTCTAAAGGGAGACTCTCTAGTAGGGAACCTGCTGGTGGAAGTAGTCCATCATGAACTCCACCTGCTTTGGCTTCGCAATAGGCACATTTTCGAACTGGTTACCGAGTTCCATGACAACCCGGGTACCCTCGGCACTGTTGGGGCTCCAATGCGGCAACGATTTGCTACCATTGTAGGAGCCACCATTGTTGGGGTTGAGAGTCTTCGCAAAATTGGCCCAGTAGGACGACATCTTCTCCTGGATCTCAAAGTCGATCTCGGTGAAAGCGTACGTATCGGAATTGGCGTACAGAGCCCCGAGCGCATACATGATCTCAGATTGGTGGAAGGCACCTTGGTCCTGGCTTGGGGGCGCATGGGTCCAGTAGTAGGTGTAGAAGTTCGCAGTGGCAGACTTGTACCAGGCAGTGGCGTAGGCCCAAGAGCCGATAAGAGAGAGATCACGGGCAGCAGCGTTCCAGGCCCGAGAGGCAATGGTACCGTTGTTGTGGTCTGGGTAGAGTTTGAAGTACTTGCTAGAGAGGTTTCCGTACTTGAGTCCACAGTAGTACTCGTACTCGGCAACGGTATAGTCGGTATCTGGAGAGGCACCAGACTCGTCCTTGGTATTACCAGTAATCACGGGGACATCGTTGGCAGGGCCATTAATTAGGGTCTCGATGTACTTGGATGGGAGCACGTAGTCGTCTAGAACGGGCTTGAAGATCAGAGGGTAACCGGCAGAGAGTGCGGTGACCCACCAAATGGAGCTGTTGGTGACGCGGTCCGAGGAACCAACCAATAAGCTCTCCATGGAGAGCGTGCGCATCTCCTCAATTGTAGAAACGTTGTGAGCCTTGATGTAGCTAGCGCTATTGGAGATAGCAGTAGACATGTTGACGTATGAGGTGGCGAGGCCAGCCAGCATGGTATCGTAGGGGTATCTAATCCCGGACTGGGAGATACCACCATGGAAGTAGCCTGTGAAGAGAGGGCTATTGACTGCATGATAGACTTGAGAAGAGCCGAAAGATTGACCAGCAAGAGTGACGCGGTCAGGATCACCACCAAATTTGGCAATATTTTTCTGCACCCATTTGAGAACTTCCAGTTGGTCCAAGATACCATAATTACCAGAGGTCTTGTGGCCAGTGAGCTTGTAGCCTTCTTCATTGAGCTCAGGGGCAGCAAGGTAGCCGAATGCATCGTCACGGCGGTTGAAGGTGATGAGAATGACATTCTTCAAGGCCATGCCTCCACCGTAGTACCACGCATTGTTGCTGGTTTCGTCGGAACCTTGGTTCCAGACCATGACAGGAAGTTTGGCATCAGCGGTCTCCGCGTTGGTCCATATGTTGAGACTGAGACAGTCTTCGCTAATATTGGAAGCTGAGTTACTAGGACAGGCAGGGCCAAAGTCCGTAGCCTTCAAGGTAGTGTTCCATGACTCGCGGGGCTGCGGTGCCTTCCACCTGTTCTGATATCCTGTATCGGCAGCGAAAGGAATACCCAAGAAAGCGGCGACGTTGGACTCGGCGCCATCGAAGTACTTATCCAGGGTGGACTGGTTGAAGTACTGGAACCCTTCGACGGGACCGTAGGAGGTTTGGATGACCTTGTCCCAAAGCTGAGCTTGGGCGACAGCAGCACCCAAGGCCAGTGAGACCAGAGTCTTGGTCAGGAGAGCCATAATGGGATCGCCGCGAAACAGAATATTGAGGCGATTGGAATTCCGAAGCACAA